GCCTTTTCTTCTCCAGGCTGAACAACCCCAACTCTCTCAGCCTGTCTTCATAGGAGAGGTGTTCCATCCCCCTGATCATTTTAGCGGCCCTCCTCTGGACTCGCCCCAACAGGTCCATGTCCTCCTTGTGCTGGGGGCCCCCAGAGCTAGACGCAGTACTCCAGGTGGGGTCTCACCAGAGCAGAGGGGCAGAATCCCCTCCCTCGACCTGTTGCCGTGCTTCTTTTGATGCAGCCCAGGATACGGTTGGCTTTCTGGGCTGCGAGCACACACTGCCGGGTCACATTGACCTTCTCATCAACCAACACCCCCAAGTCCTCCTCAGGGCTGCTTGCAATGCATTCTCTGCTCAGCCTGTATTTGTGCTTGGGATTGCTAAGATTGATAGTTCAACTTAGTCATTCAAAATACTTTCTCTCAAACACAATACTTTCTCCCATTGAGTCTAGTTAATACTGATGGAGCAAAAGGACAGAATTATAATTATCACATTTTAGCCTGAATGTGTACAGCTTGTAGAATCTTAAATTACCTGATCGGCTCTTCTATAATCTACTAAGCTCCACTGTGTACCAGGTACTCAGTAAATAGGTCATGCAGGAGTAGAAAAACAGGCATCTCTCTTATATTATTGTACTAAATCAATGACCTTGCTTAGAATTACTGATTCAGTTTAAAAAGCAGTATGTTTTTTAATATAGAAAATAAAAAGGAAAAGTAAACTTAAGATATTAAAATTTTCATTTCTAATATATAAATATATGTATATATACACACATACACACACACACTGTTTTCTAGCATTTAAATTTAAGGCATCTCACATAAAAATTAAAATTAACCTCTCTCTCCTCATAAGCTGCTTTGGATGTACATTTTCTAACGAGACTCAGGTGTCTGCCAAAACCCTGGTGATTTTGCTACTTAAAAATTAAAAGATAAGTCTGTAAAGAGATACAATATAGATTTTAACAATTATAACTTCTTTAATCGAAAGATTAATTGAAACAGAGGTAAAAGCAGCACGAACAACTGGCATTTAAGTCTTTGCTGACACAAACCAGAACCTACTTTCAGAACTGGTTTTGGTTAGATCTAGGGAAGAAAGGCTTTTGG